TAAATCCAAGGTGGAATCCCTCCAAGTGATTGTTTGTTCTTGGCCCAGTGTTTCCATGTTAGAGTCCAGACTTGATACTGTAGAAGGAAGCAACAGTAGCAGCAGCTTCTTCGTCTAGGTTCTGGGTCTCTTCATTGTAGATTTGCTGGACAGGCTTGATCTCTTCTTGAACGCGTTGTCTAAGTCTGGTGAGAAGTCGACTCTCTTCTTCATTCACTAGTGGAGGATGGTTGTGTTCTGATACTGAAGTGATGTGATCCCCAATGGTGCTGCATCTACCCTTGCACTTGTCGATGATACACTTCCAGTGAGTGGCTACCTGTCTGTCAACGTGCAGTCGATACTTGTGACCTCCGTGTAGAACCTGTTTTCCTCCTCTCTGCGACAACGTGAACTCTGCTTTCTGTAGGTTAGCCATTGCGACTGCCCATACTTTGCAAACTACCATACTTACAGGGTTGCAGTGAGTTACTAAATTGAAAGGAGAGAGAAGTTATTTCCGATTAGTAGATACATTAATTAATAATACTCTCTACTTTATTTAGACAAAATTGAAATATACTTTAAATCTTCTCTAAGTTTCCTTCTCCATCCTGTATAACTACCACAACACTGAAACAAGAGCACTTTGTCAAGTAACTCAGAGATGTATGTGATTTTAGACTAATCCCATTATGAGAGTAGGGGTGCATTGTCTGACCCTAATTAACCTCTGATGTTTTTTGTGGGCCAATTGGGATGTGGGCAATTAGGGATGTGGGCGAATAGAGACTAAGCCGGTTAAAGTGTTCACTCCTCACACTGAAGACCTGGGTTTGATTCCCCTTATGGATACAATGAGTGAAGCCCATTTCTGGTGTCCTGTGGAATATTGCTAAAATTGGTGTAAAACTAAACTCACTCACTCACTCTGAGAGTTCTAATTGTATATGTTGGTGTACAGAACAAGTGAAACACATGTTGGTGAAACTCAGTAACCATGACACACGTCACAGTTACCTAAGACAAGATGCTGCACATCGGTGTATACATTGCACATTATACACCTTTACCCTTTTATGAGATACATCACTCAACTTCACCCACTAAACATGATACATATCACAGTGACAGTAAGTGCTTTTGTGCATTAATCACTGTACCAGAATTCATGTATACTTGTAATACAAGCACTCAGCCCAAAGAAAAAATCTTTAAAGACATCATCTTGGTTTTCATTACACTAGATACAAGAATATTTCAAGTTGGTTATGGGGTAAAAACTGCAACAAAAGCTCTTAAGAGTCATTTTTCAGAAATAACGTAATACATTACCAGGGACTTAGTATCTACAGGAAACAAAAATAGAATAAGAGAAAGCCAGTAAGATATAAATATCATAGCAAAATGGAGCTAAATCCCAGGCTGACTTGTATTCAAACACTCCATACATTGACGGTATGTTTATGTGCAGTGCTGAATATCCTTACCAGCTTTCACAAACCAGAGCGCAGAACGTGTGTTTTGAATCCGAACATGTGAAAAAGTTCATGTTTTAACTAGATTACATTGTGCATATCCATGCTGAGAATGACAAACCTGGTTCCCCAGGGAGAGTTATCATTCAAGGTGCACTCACTCACTCAACATGCTTACAATATATATTGGCGTTCTGGAGATGGTGCACGCTGCAGTGATTGATTAATGTGGATTTAGACCTTGACGAGCAGGGGGAATTGTGACTGATTCAGATGGGATTGTGTCCCAGATGATTTCATCAGTGGTTGTAAGTGCTTGGCAAGATTGCTCAGTGTGAAGCTCACCTTGACATTTTGTCAATATGAGCCTATGTTGTGGCTGTTCATCCTTCTGTAAGTCCGTCAGTCCATTAGGACTTAAACTGAAAGTCTCTTCATCCCAGAATCTTCTAAATATCAAAATGATATTCATGTAGCATTTGTTGACATGAGCCAAGTGACTCATTGTCAATGAATTTCATTGTACTTTAACTGCCACCAGATGTACTTTTGCTACCACTTTGTGTACTTTTATTGATGCCAGATGTGCGGTCAGTGACACAGCCTGTTGTTTGTCCCCACGGAAATGAATTTGGGTCAGTTACCAAGATTACGAGGAGGCTGATTAGTTTGTGTTTCACTGATGTTGGGTGTACTTTTATTGATTCTAGGTGTACTTTTATTGATGCAAGGTGTACTATTATTGATGCTAGGTGTACTATTATTGGTGCAAGATGTACTATTATTGATGCTAGGTGTATTATTATTGATGCTAGGTGTACTTTTATTGGTGCTAGGTGTACTTTTATTTGATGCTAGGTGTACTATTATTGGTGCTAGGTGTACTTTCATTGGTGCTAGGTGTACTTTTATTGGTGCTAGGTGTACTTTTATTGATGTCTGGTGTACTTTTGCTTATAGTAGGTGTACTTTTATTGATGTTTGGTGTACTTTTACTTATGGTAGGTGTACTTTTATTGATGTTTGGTGTGCTTTTACTTATGCTAGGTGTACTTTTATTGATGTTTGGTGTACCTTTGCTTATGCTAGGTGTACTTTTATTGGTGCTAGGTGTACTTTTATTGGTGCTAGGTTTACTATTATTGGTGCTAGGTGTACTTTTATTGATGTTTGGTGTGCTTTTACTTATGCTAGGTGTACTTTTATTGATGTTTGGTGTACCTTTGCTTATGCTAGGTGTACTTTTATTGGTGCTAGGTGTACTTTTATTGGTGCTAGGTTTACTATTATTGGTGCTAGGTGTACTTTTATTGGTGCTAGGTTTACTATTATTGGTGCTAGGTGTACTTTTATTGATGCTAGGTGTACTATTATTGGTGCTAGGTGTACTTTTATTGATGCTAGGTGTACTATTATTGGTGCTAGGTGTACTATTATTGATGCTAGGTGTACTTTTATAGGTGCTCGGTTTACTATTATTGGTGCTAGGTGTACTTTTGCTATGGTAGGTGTACTTTTACTTATGGTAGGTGTATTTTTATTGATGTTTGGTGTACTTTTGCTATGGTAGGTGTACTTTTATTGATGTTTGGTGTACTTTTACTTATGGTAGGTGTACTTTTATTGGTGCTAGGTGTACTATTATTGGTGCTAGGTGTACTTTTATTGATGCCAAGTGTACTTTTATTGGTGCTAGGTGTACTTTTATTGATGCTAGGTATACTATTATTGGTGCTAGGTGTACTTTTATTGATGTTTGGTGTACTTTTGCTTATGGTAGGTGTACTTTTATTGATGTTTGGTGTACTTTTACTTATGCTAAGTGTACTTTTATTGATGTTTGGTGTACTTTTACTTATGCTAGGTGTACATTTATTGATGTTTGGTGTACTTTTACTTATGCTAGGTGTACATTTATTGATGTTTGGTGTACTTTTACTTATGCTAGGTGTACTTTTATTGATGTTTGGTGTACTTAGCTGACACCAGATGTAGTTTTACAGAAACATGGTGTACTTTTATTGATGCTAGGTGTACTTTAACCACAGTGACCTTTGTCAATATATCATGTCAAAAGGACCTAATTATTATCAAATTAAATATATGGTGTTGACAATTATCCTGCCTGGCTTAAATATATTCCCTCTTGCATGTCTCGCTTTGATAGGTTCAAGTACAAAACATTACTTTCTAAAAAAACCATGAATATTTAATTCTAGCGATAACGAATAATGAACATGAAGTTTTCAGTACGATTCTCTGAATAAGTGAATGAATCGTAACAACCCATATGAGAAGATGTTATGGGTGTTCATCCATCTGTCAGTCTGTCAGTCCATCCATTGACATTGAAACTTAAGAACTCTTTATCTCTAAAAGAACTGAACACTTGAGAATAACCAACGAGGTACGAGTGATTACAGGAAATATGCCCGAGTTGAAGTACTGTTCACGACCGTCAACCAATCATATTTCTTCTCAACTTCTGAAAATGGCACTTAAACAACAAATCATAAACATTTGGAGACAGGTAGGTGCATATTTTTACTGTTGCGAACTGCCAGGTGTGGGTTTCATCAAACCAACATTAGACATTTAGCCAGTTTGTGAACTGGTTTTTACACCACGTTTAACACCACGTTTACAGTAAGTTAATGGAGTGTCAGCCTAAATATGTTGCAAAAGTCTGAAATTAAAATACTTCAGTGAAACTGAATCGACCGAAGGTTGATTCTGGGATTTGAACCCACAATCACAGGATTCAGCATGCCAAAGGGATGTAACTCTGCACAGTGAATTCAGAACCTTAGACAACTGGGCCAGCCTTGTCCCCCCAACAAATTAGAATATTTCAGTACTGTAGAAGCCAAATATTTAACTCATTGCTGCAAGAAGGTGTGATGTAAGGTGATCGATGACATCTTCTCAAGTCAAGACAACTGAACTTTGCAAGTCACACATTGTACCCATGTTGGGAATCGAACCAGGGCCTTCAGCGTGACGAGAGAACACTTTAACCACCGCCCACTTGTGTCAAAATAAATTCTGACAACATTGATACCATTACAAAACAGCATGTTTGTCACACTTTAAGCTTAAATGATCAGATTTCAGGTTCCATTTCCTTCAGAAATCACCAAGAACTGAATCAAAAGCAATTTCTTTGTATCAAAACACTGGTAATTGTTGGGCTCTTCCTCCACCGCTTTTGTCCCAGAGAAGGTTTGTTTTGACTGAAGCCTCTGGCTGTTAAAGTCAGCTGACAAACTCTGTTGGCATCCTGTCAGGGGACGTCTTTCATGTTCTGATCCCTGCCAATGTGGCGGTTTAATCAATGTCTCTCCCCGGCGCCGTACAACGGTCTTGCCTGCAAGTCCCCTGTGTCATGGTGACGCCTCAATTAGAGAGGCCCAGTTGAGTCTGTCCAACCTTGTCGCAGTGTACCAAATACGCCACAAAATGAAATTAAGTTTAAAAGCTCATTCCTGCCTCTGCCAACTAATCTCTGTAGAAAGAATATTATTAGATTCGTGATCACAACGGCGCTGTGCTGCCTGGCTGACAGTCGCTTTGCTCCGTACTGCGTATTGGGCGACCGACCAGAATGGCATCGGATCTCTAAGGTAGGCAGCGTTTATAGCCTAGTACATTAAGGTAGGCTTTACCATCAGCTAGGAACTGGTGATTGAATGATCTGGAGGTTAATTAAAATGGGTTATATGCATTTGCTGTCTCTCTTTTGAAGCAGTAGCTATTCGTCAAAGACAGACATGTTGTGTAACAAAAAACTACAGAATTATTTCTGGAGGATGATGAGAACTGTGGTGCTGAAAGCTGTTGGCAATGTATATATGTTATGATACATTTGTCACTGTTATACTTGTCCGCTGATGATATAGAGATATACAGAAATACATAAAGAAATGATCCATTTACCTGTAATGTGTTGGTTTGAAATATTATCTGTTTAGCGCACAAAAGCATGTTAGGTACACAGACAGACAGACAGTTGGATCACACACATATGCAGACATGCATGTACACACACATGCGCGGGAGCATGCACACACACACACACACACACACCTCAGACAACTTGTTCAGCATTGTAGGGCTTTATACTTTGAATATATACCAGTCTACAACTGTTAAGGACCAAATTACAATTCATCTTTAGTAACAGTGCTATTATCCTCTGCAAATGTTGAGAAGCATATGTATTGAAATTTTCACAAGAACTGCAGGTACTTTCATTTTTATATGTATAAATAGACGTGTAATTTGAAGACTTGGATATCATTTGTGAAATCAAAAAACCATGAAGTTTAAGCGACTATCTGTAGGCTCTAGTTTGCCATTTAATATTTCACTGAAAGCAGAGAAAAAGCAAGATATTTTAAAATTAGTCATTTATTTGTATTCTCAGGCTGTGGATGGTTAATAGCGTACATAATATATAGATTCTATCAAATTGTGCACCTTACCTATGACATTTTGGGTAAAGGGAGTATTGAATCTATTTGTTGTAAGCGCACGTCTGCAGTATCAGAACAGTCTGTAAATATCTGAATCTAGATCAGTCAAACTAGTGGTTGATAACATAAGCAATGTCTCATGATGTCAGTACACAATGAGTAAAATCACCAAGCATGACAGCACTATTTGATTCATATATTCCTTGGGGATAGATTTTTACTCTGTTCACATAGGTGACATGCAGTAGATTGCTGTGAACTTGTTGTAACCCAGTTCACATAGGTGACAATCAGTAGAATGTAGTGGTGGTCCGATTAATTGAAATAATCGAAGATTGGTCGCAGTGACTAAACGACCAAGCAATCGAACATGTAATCTCATAGTCGAACGCAACCAATCTTGGAACACTTGTTTGCATCAACAATATTTTTCACAAGGTTGCTTTTGTCTGTGTCATTAAATTTAAATTTCATAAGCACAACAAGCTCGTTCCAAGTCATGATTGAATTTATCTTAAAGAATCCAGGAAATCTGTGTTCCTAACATACTAATAATCCTTTAAATATGCAAAATTTGCAAATGGATTTGTTTAATTTGCAAAAAACCCAAATTACTACGTTTTTTCTTTATTGTTTACAAAGACAACAGGAACATTTGATAAATGACGCTAACCAATTATTTTCGATGATTGATCGGTTGTAATGGACCAATCATCAATTATGAGATTTTAACCAATTCCCAACACTAGTAGAATGCCAAGGACTTGCTCTAACCTTAGTTCTCATAGGTGACTGTTGCAATCAGTATAGGTGTGTGGTCCTGTGCGTACAGCTCAGGTCACAATCAGTTGAAGTTAAGCAACAGTGGTCGCGGACAGTCCTCGGATGGGTGACCGTGTTTGGCAGCTTGACTCCTGAGAGTTTCTAGGACTTCAGTCCTGCCCAACAACGAAGCATATGTCATACATGTGGTCTCACCTTAGGCAAGTGAGTTTGTTCAAACTTGCCTCTGTCCACCCAGCAGTAAACTGGGTACCTGGTATGATACCATGGTAGTCTGAATTTGAACCTTGAGCGCCTGACAGGTTGTATTCTCCACAGGGAGTGTTCGTACTCGTTGACCAGGGATAATATGTCAGCGCTTTGAGCATGCAAAATGCATGGATAAATGCACAATATAAATGGACTGTTATTATTATTATTACTATTACATGTATGTGTGTTCAATATGTATCTGAATGTTATAGAGTCATTTTATGATTTGGTATTTTACTACACTTTCGGAAATCGTGTAGCATTGTGTCTTGCCTTCTTATAATGAACTGTCTTCTGGGGTTTTAAATGATACTGTTCACAGTTTGATGAGGTCGTCATTTTTTGGATCATGACTGCATCCCAGGTGCTGAGTGTTGGTTAATTGGTTGATGAGTGAAAAACAAAAGCTATCAGTTAATTTCCGAACTCCACTCTCTCAACATGAACTAAGATTTGTCTTTAAGAAGAGGGTTAAAAAGAGACTTCATTATGTTTTCAACTCGATAAACTCAATTTATTAATTGGTATCATGTGGAGGAGGATTATATTCGGATATGATGGTGGGAGTACTGTGGTGTTTGCAGGTCTGTTGATGCGTGTGTAGGTGTCGCTCTGCTGTGTGTGTGTGTGAGGGGGGGGGCAGCAGGTGTAGGAGGAAGGTCAGTAGTGGGTTGGGGTGACTATTGAGGGGGAAACTACTATTGCGATAACAATAGTCTATTGCAACATACTATTGCGATAGTGATAGTCTATTGCGACCGACTATTGCAATACTATTGAAATAGGTTTTTTCTCCTTGAATTCTCTCATTTGAAGTCATTTCCCAAATGAATGTATAGTTTATATGAAATAAATACAAGTTGAAATAGGTTAAGTCTCTGTTTTAACTGACAAGAAACTTGAAACCAGTAGATCAAGTAAACAGTTACAACATAAACATGAAGCTGCAAGCCTGCACTCAACATCAAGGTGAATGAATCTGGTACTTGCTGTATTTTGCGCTACGCATTTATCAACAGATGTCAATTACTAAACTATCGATAGTCACACATACTATCGATGCTTCAATAGTTTTTCCTTTCTAACATCGATTAATTGCTATCTGAGATTCAACAATTGCAATCCATCGACTGTTCGATGCATAATTACAGCCCTAATAGTAGGTGAGTGGCTTGGAGAGGTGTATATAATAGTCATGACCAAAAGTATTGGTTGACCAGCTGATTAGTAGGGGTGGGCTATAATACTGGTTAACCGGTATATTGCAATTCGAACTTCACGATACGATATATTGCGGTACACTTTTCGCAAACCGGTCCACCCAATACGATCGGGCATTTTCGTGATGTAGACAAAAGTACGAATAATATTTGTATTTCCTTTATATTATTATACATTGATAGTTTTGGGAATGTTTATTGGTCATATAATTAATAGCTATTTGAGCATTTGCGTGACTTTTAAACCGTATAAATAAGCAAAAATATATTGGTACCGGCACTCGTTGGAAGGATAAAGAAACCAAAATGGCGGACGCTTTTTCTTGAGTTCCAAACTTTAGAGCGAAGTTTTTGATTTGGAAACATTTTCAATTGATCTCTTGTACAATCACAACTGAGTCCTGACAGTGGCCAGTGGCCACAATATATTGCAATACATATTGCAATACGCCAACACATATCACAATATATCGCAATACGAAAATATTGGAAATACCCAACTCTTACTGATGAGTGTTCACCATAAATCTACAAATAGAAATTTCCGCAATAAGCAAAAGGTTGCATTGAATGTTAATTTCAAAAACACAATGAATTGTGTTCAAATAAAAGTAATAACGTAGTCATTTTAGTGATACATTCTTATGGCCGTATTTGATAAAACACCCAAATACACAGTGATTTAAATTGTGCCTTGACAAAGAAATTATTAAATCTCTCCATCAAGCCATGAACATTTACAAACTCAGCATTTATGAATATGTGAACAGGGGATTCAATTAATTCATAAAGTCATCGCATCGTACCTCGTAGGGATGAGAAAGCCGCAATAACTCGGTGCGCCTAGTGGCTGCAAGAGTTGTATGCTCCCCAGGGAGTTTAGATTGATAATATCATGTGCTGTTGAGATTGACATCCAGTGATCGAGGGGACAAAAATACCAGCGCCTTGAGCATAAACTAGTTGCCTGGATATGTGCGCTATATAAAAATATGTTAAAAAAAATGTTTCTCTACAACTCTGTGTAAAGTCACATTTGGTCTTGCAGGACAGTGATTGGTCTTAGCCTGAGAACCATCCCTATATAGGGTGAATCTATAACTTTGGGACAAACACTTTTCACCTTTACCTTTTTGCACTAGCACACAACCCAATCTCTTCATTCTTGATACCATGTTAGAAGGACAAGGGATTCCACTAGATCTTCTGGAGGGGGTGGGGAATCTATTGAAAGACATAATCTCTTTCCCAGAACAGTGGCAGTAAATATTTATTGTCAGGTTTTGCAACAATTGGTTTCTGCACCCCCTCCTCTTAACACTTGCATGTTGTGTGTTATAAAATAAATTGCATGGACTACATTCTAAGTGAAAAAATACACCCACTCCCCCACCGCCCCTCATCCCTACCACCATCACAAACTGCCTTAAATAATCAGATCCGGAACTCAGCTTGCATAAAACAAAATAGAAATATGCTCCTTCAGTCTAAGAGAAAGTATGTATTTTGTATCTCTTCATGTTTGATTTCATTCCAAATGTGTGCATTTGGGTTCATTAAGTAAAGATAATTCTTATCTAACATGAAATAAAGGTTAATGTGAACTGATGTCCGTTGATTGGCATGAATCTTTACATTTTCATCATTTCTTGAACCAGAAGTTTTTAGCTCAAGTCGTGCTTGTATAATCCAAGTATTTTGCTCAAGTCGTGCTTGTATAATCCAAGTATTTAGCTCAAGTCGTGCTTGTATAATCCAAGTATTTAGCTCAAGTCGTGCTTGTATAATCCAAGTATTTAGCTCAAGTCGTGCTTGTATAATCCAAGTATTTAGCTCAAGTCGTGCTTGTATAATCCAAGTATTTAGCTCAAGTCGTGCTTGTATAATCCAAGTATTTAGCTCAAGTCGTGCTTGTATGTATTTAGCTCAAGTCGTGCTTGTATAATCCAAGTATTTAGCTCAAGTCGTGCTTGTATAATCCAAGTATTTAGCTCAAGTCGTGCTTGTATAATCCAAGTATTTAGCTCAAGTCGTGCTTGTATAATCCAAGTATTTAGCTCAAGTCGTGCTTGTATAATCCAAGTATTTTGCTCAAGTCGTGCTTGTATAATCCAAGTATTTAGCTCAAGTCGTGCTTGTATAATCCAAGTATTTATCAAAGCTTGTATAATCCAAGTATGTAGCTCAAGTCGTGCTTGTATAATCAAAGTATTTAGCTCAAGTCGTGCTTGTATAATCCAAGTATTTAGCTCAAGTCGTGCTTGTATAATCCAAGTATTTTGCTCAAGTCGTGCTTGTATAATCCAAGTATTTAGCTCAAGTCGTGCTTGTATAATCCAAGTATTTAGCTCAAGTCGTGCTTGTATAATCCAAGTATGTAGCTCAAGTCGTGCTTGTATAATCCAAGTATTTAGCTCAAGTCGTGCTTGTATAATCCAAGTATTTAGCTCAAGTCGTGCTTGTATAATCCAAGTATTTAGCTCAAGTTGTGCTTGTATAATCCAAGTATTTAGCTCAAGTCGTGCTTGTATAATCCAAGTATTTAGCTCAAGTCGTGCTTGTATAATCCAAGTATTTTGCTCAAGTCGTGCTTGTATAATCCAAGTATTTAGCTCAAGTCGTGCTTGTATAATCCAAGTATTTAGCTCAAGTCGCTTGTATAATCCAAGTATTTAGCTCAAGTCGTGCTTGTATAATCCAAGTATTTAGCTCAAGTCGAGCTTGTATAATCCAAGTATTTTGCTCAAGTCGTGCTTGTATAATCCAAGTATTTAGCTCAAGTCGTGCTTGTATAATCCAAGTATTTAGCTCAAGTCGTGCTTGTATAATCCAAGTATTTAGCTCAAGTCGAGCTTGTATAATCCAAGTATTTTGACATTATGGCTAAAGATTTCATATGTTGGAATGTGTGTGTGAGTGAGTGAGTTTACTGAGTTTAATTTTACGTTGCTTTTAGCAATATTCCAGCAATATCATAGCGGGGGACATCAGAAATGGGCTTCACACATTTAACCCATGTGGGGAATCGAACCCAGGTCTTCGGTGTGATGAGCCAACGCTTTAACCACTTGGCTACCCCACTGCCCCATTGGAATGTCTGTTGGTCAGTAGCTGTACGCTATGTATACTCAAGAAGATGGGAGTTATATATGATTTCTTACATCATCTTTTTCGCATGAATAGCAGAATGCAGAAAAAATTGTTTTTTTGTGATAGAAATTTAACATGGATGTAAAATTTATTCCTTGCCAAAAAGTATGCTGTTTGAAAACTTTTCTCAAGAAATGGGAAGTCTAGAAGATGTCAAGGCTTTAAATCCCATCTATAAAAAAAATAACCAATCACACTCCCATTTATCTTACAATCTGTTTTACATCATCCTGGAATCTCTTGAGATTACTGAACAAAATATGTGTGAAAAATGTAATTACATTTTTAATTGATAAAAAAGGTGCGATCAGTCACTGCCATAACGAGATGTGTTCCCATCACCTCCAAAATGAGGAACAGAATCTCCTCATAAAAAATGACAGTTTTGATAAATTATTCAAGAATTCACTTTTAATGTTCATTGATTTCAGCTCTGCTTCTTTCACTGAGAGTGTGAGTTCACGGGGGACAGGACACACTTTGTCTCAGAGTTCACGGATAATAACCCCATCATCAGCTTCATGGCCCAAGTGGTCTGTCTCACCACAGCTTTACCGATTCCATTGTGGAATGACATGCCACCTTGCAGGATTGGATGACAACACAGGCATAGGTAGATTAGATGCTTCAGCAGAAGCTGTGTACAGTATGTGACAAGATGGTGAATGCTGCAGACTGAACGATGCCAAGATCTTTCATTAATGTTGAGGATTTGCCAAGTTGTTGTGGGAGCTCGTAATTGGATAATTGGATATGGTTATTGGCGTTCCTTATTAGAATACTATACTGCATTTATGACCTCGGAGGACATTGTGTCAGTGACTTAGAAGGCTGCTGGGTCGATGATCTCATGTTATGGTGATGTGAAGAATAAAATCCTGAGTTTGTTTGGATTATTATTGAATCTGGAGTGTTTCTTTTACAGGATTGTGTGTGATCAATTTCAAGCAGAACAGAATCTTGGCCAAACAGTGTTGGCACAACACAGCAGTATTGGAATATTTATTGCATTTCAGAACAAGTTCCCATCATACCTCACTCTCAGACAGGACGACAGTGTAGAACAGGCTACATTGAAACAGTGACACAACAGAGGGTCTGAAGTTTGTGAAAATATATGAAAATCTGAATTATCAAAAAGTACACAGCTATAAAGTTAAAGAACCAGGCAGTTAACCAGTACAAGCATTCAAGATCAAGACGGTTAACAAGTCCATGAGTTGAAGATCAAGACAGTTAACCAGTCCATGAACTAAAGATCAAGACAGTTAATCTGTACTTGAGTTAAAGATCAAGACAGTTAACCAGTCCATGAGTTAAAGATCAAGACAGTTAACCAGTCCATGAACTAAAGATCAAGACAGTTAATCTGTACATGAGTTAAAGATCAAGACAGATAGTACAAGAGTTAAAGATCAAGACAGTTAACCTGTACATGAGTTAAAGATCAAGACAGATAGTACAAGAGTTAAAGATCAAGACAGTTAGATAGTACAAGAGTTAAAGATCAAGACAGTTAACCTGTATATGAGTTAAAGATCCAGACTGTTTAACCAGTACAAGAGTTAAAGATTGTGATTGGTGACAGGTCATGACTCTCCACCAGACATGTTTCATTCATGAACTCATCAGTGTTAAGGCTTTATTAAGTTGTGTCTGTCTTGAATGTTCATAAACACAAGGTTGTGTCTGTCTTCTTTGTACATGAACACAGCAACACCACACCAATACGCCAGCTTGGAGCTACTGGTCTGAAAATTCTTCATTCGAGCTACAAGACATTGAAAAGTGTGTGTCTTTAAACCAGTGCTTCAGAGCGAAGACAAGACACAAGTGCCTGTCTGCCTCGTTCATCATAATCCATATGATACACCATCAACCTTTGTGAAAGTGTTGTAACTGCCAGAACCCAATCAAGAAAGCAACAGATCTGAGGAATTACCCCCATCACACGACGTTCCATCGCATAACGTCCGTCACATAACTTCCATGTCGCTCCCTGATCACAGACTTGTTCTGACTTTGATGCCTCCACCAGTCATGTGAGTAAAGTAGCTAATTTTTGCCGTTTTCTTTGCAGCTTTGTGTTTGTAGTTATTTCAAGTAGAGCTGAGCCACCTGGGGCTAGCTTTAATGACCAGCTGTCACAGGTGTGTCTATAATTACTTCTCCTGTGAGGATTACCATTTCAGTTTGTATAAAATCTCATTATAATTTTTTTTTTTTTTGGTCAGGATTTAGGGTTAAATAAGAAACTATTTCTTAAAAACAAGTTTTCACATAGCAGCATATTTAGATACCATGGCTATACATGTACATCGTGCTGTGAGGATTAAATGAACATTTTTATGTATTTGTGTTTATGCAAGTTGTTATGACAACCTTGAGAGTCGAAATCTTGGTTCTTAAGTGAAGGACTTCAGTATGACAGTGTTGACTATTACTCTCTCATCATTGCTTAATTGTATGTCATCGTCTCTGGTCTTCTATGTCTTGTATGTCATCGTGCGGGGTCTTGTATGTCATTGTGCCAGGTCTTGTATGTCATCGTGCCAGGTCTTGTATGTCATTGTGCCAGGTCTTGTCATTGTGCCAGGTCTTGTATGTCATCGTGCCAGGTCTTGTATGTCATCATGCCTGATCTTGTATTTCATCATGTCATGTCTTGTATGTCATCATGCCAGGTCTTGTATGTTATCATGTCACTTCTTGTATGTCATGTCACATGTTGTATGTTATCATGTCACATCTTGTATGTCATGTCACATCTTGTATGTTATGTCACATCTTGTATGTCATGTCACATCTTGTATGTCATCTTGTATGTCATCATGTCAGGACTTGTATGTCATGTCACATCTTGTATGTTATCATGTCACATCTTGTATGTTATGTCAGGTCTTGTATGTCATCATGTCAGGACTTGTATGTCATGTCACATCTTGTATGTTATGTCAGGTCTTGTATGTCATCATGTCAGGACTTGTATGTCATGTCACATCTTGTATGTTATCATGTCACATCTTGTATGTCATGTCACATCTTGTATGTTATGTCAGGTCTTGTATGTCATCATGTCAGGACTTGTATGTCATGTCACATCTTGTATGTTATGTCAGGTCTTGTATATCATCATGTCAGGACTTGTATGTCATGTCACATCTTGTATGTTATCATGTCACATCTTGTATGTCATGTCACATCTTGAATGTTATCATGTCACATCTTGTATGTCATGTCACATCTTGTATGTTATGTCACATCTTGTATGTTATCATGTCACATCTTGTATGTTTTTCATGTCACATCTTGTATATTATCATGTCACATCTTGTATGTCATCATGCCAGGTCTGGTATGTCATCATATCAGGTCTTCTATGTCAGTTATTCTATTAGAAATGAATCTTTGTTGACAGATCTACTGTGATCACCTGAAAGATGACACTGTAATTGACACAAGGATTCTAAATTTGACGGACAAAATGGTCTCAATGATTTGACAATCTGGTAGGAGTACATGTGAAAACTGGTGTATTGATTTTTGTCAGGTTATTCTCATTCTGGGTTGGTTATACACAGAGGAAATTTGTCACTTGTTCATCCCTAGTGGGAATATCATGAACAATTATTCATTATCAGCAGTGTATTGTGCAGAAAGCACCACTTTTTAAATGAGGTATGTATTAATACAGTCCTGGGAAGGATTATGTTCAGTATTCATCCCAAGTCGAAAATCTATATGTTTATATATTCAGAGGCAGATGTGACTCTGCTTTTCTTTGTATTGATCATATTGTGATTTTGTAGAACAACTGAAAAGTATGATATGAACTGTATCACACATTTGATACCAGTGAAAACTGATGGCTGATATGGTACGATGCTTATGTGATGTTGGTGGGGAACTTGGTTCTGAGGACCTGGGGTCATGTTGGTAGAACTGGGGTCATATTGGTGGAACGGGTCATGTTGGTGGAACTGGGGTCATGTTAGTCGAACTGGGGTCATGTTGGTAGAACTGGGGTCATGTTGGTTGAACTGGGGTCATGTTGTTGAACTGGGGTCATGTTGGTAGAAGTGGGGTCATGTTGGTAGCAGTGGTGTCATGTTGGTAGCAGTGGTGTCATGTCAAGGGACACTGCTGTCATGTCAAGGGACTGTTTGTCATGTTGGGGGATGGTCTGTCATGTTGGGGGATGGTCTGTCATGTTGGAGGATGGTCTGTCATGTCAAGGGACTGTTTGTCATGTTGGGGGATGGTTTGTCATGTTGGAGGATGGTCTGTCATGTTGGGGGATGGTTTGTCATGTTGGAGGATGGTCTGTCATGTTGTGGGATGGTCAGTCATGTTGGGGATGGTTTGTCATGTTGGAAGATGGTCTGTCATGTTGGGGATGGGGGTCATGTTGGGGATGGTCTGTCATGTTGGGGGATGGTCTGTCATGTTGGGGGATGGTTTGTCATGTTGGGGATGGTTTGTCATGTTGGAGGATGGTCTGTCATGTTAGAGGATGGTCTGTCATGTTGGGGGATGGTCTGTCATGTTGGAGGATAGTTTGTCATTTTGGGGGATGGTCTGTCATGTTGGAAGATGGTCTGTCATGTTGGGGGATGGTTTGTCATGTTGGGGGATGCTCTGTCATGTTGGAGGATGGTCTGTCATGTTAGAGGATGGTCTGTCATGTTGGGGGATGGTCTGTCATGTTGGGGGATGGTTTGTCATGTTGGGGGATGGTCTGTCATGTTGGAGGATGGTCTGTCATGTTGGGGATGGTTTGTCATGTTGGGGGATGGTCTGTCCTGTTGGAGGATGGTTTGTCATGTTGGAGGACGGTCTGTCATGTTGGAGGATGGTCTGTCATGTTGGGGGATGGTTTGTCATGTTGGGGGATGGTCTGTCATGTTGGGGAGCTATGGTGAAGCTGGGGTAACTGTGGATATGTTGTTGGCAAGAATGGTCATTTTGGGGAAGACAGCAATCATGGAGGAAAACAGGTGGTCATGGTGGTCGGGAAATAAACGGGTGCAGTGGGATATTCCCCCTGATATAAACGGATTCCTTGTAACTGGTGTGTATGGAGATCAATAAGCAGCTACTGGCTAGTGGGCTTTAATTGGTTGGAAGACTGCAAAGTCACAGTGGGGCACTCTGCTCTGTTGGACAGCACGCTGACTAAGTGATTGGCAAAAACGCTTCTCAACCTTATTGCTTCCCAAATCTCAAGTGACCAGAAGCATCTAGATTAACAGCCTCATTATCAGTCCCGCTGACGGGCCTGTTTCCACACAGCCTGCACAAAACGCAGAAACGTTGGGACATGAAAGACGTGTTGATGCCTGGGACTGGCCAGTGATTAGTTCGGCACCGTAGGTCAATACCTCTAATTGAAGGTTACTGAATGGTGTAATAGGGCCCAATAGCAAGGGCTAAGTAGGGAATCCAGCAGCCTTCAGGTCCGATCATCACAGCATCACAAGTGTGACATTGCCACAATTGATAACACCATTCCCCTTTCATCTATGAGCCATTGATTGATTTCACACCAGATCCCCCTCATTCGCAGCAATCAGCGTATTGTGATCTCACAGTTTTACATGTTTTTATGGGTGTTGAGCTAAATTCAGTGTTATTCATAGATGAGTGCCGACCTTGTAAACACTCCATGGGGTCTGGGATTTTGAAGAATTAAAATGGACAGAAGAACTCAATTTCACCCAAAATAAATAACTTGACATCAATAAGTGACAAAATCCTTTTGACATCATAAACTTGAAAGCAGGGTGTTATATCATTCTGGCTGTATCATCATCATGAGTGAGTGAGTTGGGTTTTATGCCACTTTTAGCAAAATTGCAACAACATCACGGTGGGGGACACCAGAAATCGGCTTCACACATTGTACCCATGTGGGGAATCAAACCTGGGCCTTCGGTGTGATGAGCGAACGCTTTCACCACTAGGCTATTCCACCGCCCCTATCATCATGTATTTATGAATTAGCAAGCATTGAAGATACCAAGTGTTCATGGAAAGATGTCCGGATTCTGTTTTGCAGGTGGCATCCATCAGAAGCATGCAAAGGCAAGTAAATAATGTGTCGTGACTTTATAAAAGAATTGTATTACCGTTACTCCTCTTTTCACACAACACAATTTGTATTTGGCAGCATTGACTCAAAATGTGACCAGCTACCAAGCAGCATGACGGGTGGTGGGTTAGCCTAGTGGTTAAAGTGTTCCTTCGTCACGCCCAAGGCCATGGTTCAATTCCCCACATGGGTACAATGTGTGAAGCCCATTTCTGGTGTCCCCCGCTGTGATGTTGCTGGAATATTAATAAAAACATACTCACTCACTCACCCAAGCACCATGCAGGTGGTGGACAGCTTCTTGCAACAGCAGCAAGATCACAACTTTGCGACAATAGAGACAGTGAGTAATAATCTCCATGACCCTGGTGTCTGGCTACAGTGGCCATGCATTGCCATCCTGCTCACATGACATAACAGACAGTCATGCTTGATTTGGACTGAGGATCACATCATTGGACGACCATGACTGGGCACCAGTACTTTTTCGGTAATGAATAGATGTCGAGACTTTACTGAATGCCTGACAATTAGAAAGAGTTCAGGATCCCAACAAAGACATACATGATGGCTGTGGAAGGGGCTTAATCATAACTTGGGTTGGGATCAGCAGACCTAGAAGAAGGAATTTCCATGTCCTATATCAGGGCATGATGACAGGTGGGGATGACTTATGGATAATTAATAACAATAAGGCCACTTATATAGCACTGAACTCCATGCCGCAGGTCATGCTCTAGTGATGGACATTATTATCCTGGAAAACCCAACTGCCTTAGTTGTCATATGAGTTATCCCACCAGGTACCCATTTTCTGCTGGGTGAACAGAGGCAATTTTGATCAAACTGATTTACCTAAGGTCAGACCACACGTGCGTTTCATTGCTGGACAGGACAGAAGTCCTAGAAACTCTCAGGAGTAAAGCTGCCAAATACAGTCACCCATCCAAG